ACTACTAGCCGATTGGTCATCCGTGTGAAATTTACGCACATAATTTAACATCTCTAGTTGCTGCAAGAAAAATTCATGTGACACTCAGCAACAATTACTCACAGCCATTGAAAGTATTAATTGAACTCCACCTGTGCTTGTAGATCATGCTGGTTGTGCATTTTTTTTAGCAAATTCTTCTTCCCCGAGCTCAACTTCATCACAGGCTATATCTTTCCTGTAATTTACACCTTATCAAATCTCCAAATTCAGATTCATGGTACGTAAAAATTGTCACAATCGATAGAATGGGCACTAGCATAGAAGAAAGTAGAAACAAGGCTAAGAATTGCTAGGTAGAGAATTTTCTAATGTCCCTGACTTTGCTACATGTATCAGCCACCACGAGAACGATGCTAAAGGCATGAATCAGTCTATAGAATTCAAACAATATAACTTCTTCCTAGATTATGTGAGTAGGAAAAAATTTAGGGGAGCAATTATACTCCTATGAGCTAGCAAATAAGTAAATGTAAGCCGGCAAAGCCACCACAAAAATTATTTAACAAAGCTATTATACAAATATAACAGGTTATCAACTTCACTAAGAGAAAGAAAGTAACAACAAAAAGGTAAATATGCAAGATTTACTTCAATATCCCCCTTCACATACTGCAGTATAAGACCTTAGCCCCTAGATCAGCACACTCCAAGGAATTCAACAAATAATAAGTTAGCTTGGACAAGATACTCATAACTAGATCAGTATTTAGTGATTCTGATGTACAGAAAGGGAAACAAAAAAAAGAGGAAAAAGAAAACTCACTTAGCCACAAATCAATAGAAGCGAATCATCAAGTCCCGGTCATTCTCATATGCCATGTTCACTATTCCCAGACAACTAATCCCAAAGCTAGGATCTGCAATATTACATAAATAAAAGTTACACCAAAGAAACTTTTAATTCAAAAAAGGATACATAATTCACAAGCAAGAGTCTGAAACTACATCAGAGAGAAAAAGGGCAGGCACAAGTAATTAGCTTGTACTTTCAAATTATACTATATCCCATAAAAAACATGATTTCTTGCATACTGTGGCCATCAGTGCTCATATAATGATTCATAATGATAGATTAACCTAAAAAAAAAAACTCCTATTTCGAAGATACAAATCACATCTAGAAGACCCTACAAGGACTTGAGCACAAAGTTTTCTAAATCTAATCATGCGATGGGTAGTTTTCTTTTATGACACTAAGTGTATACCATTAACACTACACTGATAGTTCTAAGTTCTAACGCTTTCTATTCATGGTAAAAAGGGCCTCTTATGAGTTATAGACCAATCTAAGCCATCTTTACAAGTTTACACATGGAGGAACAAGCGAGGGGACAAGAATCAACAAGTCACGAAACATTTCCAGTGAACACAAGATAAAGCAATCAAAATCTTACAACCTAGAAAAAATAGTTAATAAGACTCGTAAATCCCCCAAAATTAGACATAAATCTGAAATCATATAAATCAAAGCCTAAACATGGACTTGTTTTTTGGCAGATTTTTCTGTTTCATGATGAATGCCGAAGAGATGAATTAGAGCGGAGCGAGAAAGAAGAAAAAGGAGAGATAAAGAGAGAAGGCTTACTCAGGGCACGAAGCTGGAGTTTGAGCGATGTTAGTTCAGCAACCCTCCACCACCGCCATCAATTACAAATCGAAACTCACCATCGTTGCTCTCCACCACCGCCAACAGTTACAAATCGAAACCCTAGAAATCGAAATAAATCAAAATTTTGAACTAGTAATAATGCAAAGGAACCCTAAATTTGAAATTTAAAGAGGAAATTTTAAAGAAGCTCATACCATGAACACCAATCAAAACCCTAAAAATCGAACCGCACCGTCGTTATCACTTGCGACCACCATCACCACAGTGACCATCAATGAATGAGGAGAGAGAAGAAAGAGAGAATTTAATTTGTGAGCGACGGTGGTTGTGGTTGTGGATGTGGTTGCGGCTGCGGCGATGGTTGCCTTCGTCTTTAAGGAAGAGAAGAGGGAGAAGGAGAGAAAGAGAGAGGAGAGAGAAATGAGGTGGTGAGGTCTGAGGAGAGTGAACGAGATTACGAGAGAGATGAGAAAAATATAATAACGGAGTATTTAATATCACCGCCTTGACAATAGTCTTTCCGGTCGTTGTATTAGTACACCTAATGCAACGGCTTCTTAAAGCCGTTGCATTAGCTCCACCTTTTGATGTAAAAAGTTTATGTTGTTGATTAGGCTTATCTAATGCAACGGCAATAAAATGAGCCGTTGCACTAGCTCTTTTTTAGCCTTTGCATTTGATTAAAAATGTAGTAGTGGAATATGCTTGGCACTCTTAGGAAGTGGGTAGACATACGATTAGGGACACGATTAGGGACAAAACAAATCAGCAAGTTTTTAAGGAACTTGTAAACTGTTCACAGATAATTATAAGACAACCGCGATAAGGGACAATGATACGATTGAACCGTGAAGGTTACACCCCATTCATAATCCATGAGATTACTATCTCCATATGGTTCGGAACCACGAAAGGAGGATTGGGGAAGATGGTACAAAGTGAGTCATGGAGTCACATTCGCACGTTTTGGCCTCTACTTGATTCTTATAGTGAAAAGTATTCCTGCAATCTCAAAGGCACATAAATAAAGATTCAATTTGCTCCAGAGTAAATTAGGCTAAATTGGTTAAATGTTAATCCAACATATAATTCTAAAATATTAGTGATCACTTGATTAAACAACAAGATTTAAAAAAAACCTAAGCCAGTTGTCCAAATTATCTTATTAATCGTTATATTCTATTACATATTCCCATTAACATGCAACATGGTAATTAATACGATAATAAAATAAACATAAACATTGGAAGCAATTTTAACATTACAACAACGATTAATATAAGACAAAAATTGTTAGAAATATAATATGAACAAAAGGAACATGATTCCTTACTTTGATTGTGTTTGCTTGCAACTATAAAACAATAAACGTGTTAGTAACTTCAAGGAAAGTTAATAATAATAATGGCAATTCTTCCATGACACGACAATTATTTCTATTGCGGCGCCTCGTTTCTAGAGTTCTGTACCTCACCCCTCTTATTTTCTCTATAAATACGAGGCTGATTTCACAATCTCAGGGGTACCGAATATATAATTCTCTCTTTCTCTCTTATGCTTTAGCCTAAATACTTGCTTTCCCATCTCTCACAATTCCTCCTTGAAGCACATCCCAGAGTCCGTACTTTACCAGGAGTTCTATACTTAAAGTAAGGCGTGAAAGGTAGAACTGTTTGAGGGTTGGCCCTAAATCAACTTTTAAGTAAAGTACTTACTCCAGGGAGTGATTCGAGGAGGAATTGTGAGAGATGAGAAAGCAAGTATTTAAGCTAAAGCATAAGAGAGAAAGAGATAAATAGAGGAAATGTGAAGGGTGAGGTCCGGGACCCTAAAAATGAGGCACCGTAGAGAAATGAATTGCCGCGCCACGGCACAAATTGCCCGCGGTACGGTAGAGATTGCCATGTCACGGGAAATCTTCCGTGACATGGTCAATTAATCGTGGCTTAGCGGGTGATTCTACCAATTCTGAAGGTCAAAGCGCATGAAAAGATAAAACTGGGTCAAACAAGTTGCCGTGTCACGGCAGTGTCTGCTATGGCACGCAAATGGCACTTTCTGAAAATCCATCTAAATTCAATTTTATCTTTTATTTTATACTAAATACGGGATATATAGGCGACGTTTCAGTTGTTCCGGAACTATTTCAGGTTTAGGGTTTTAATATTTATTAATCAGGCTTAATTTATAAATAAAATGAAATGGATTAAAAAGGTTTGGGCTGAAATGTGGGTTGGACTATGCTTTGACTAAATACTTGGACTGATTTGTAGACTGTGTTTGATTGAATACGGATTTTAAACATTCCCGAGATTAAATACTCGACCCGACCAATAATGACGGTGAAAGGTTGTTAATCATCGAGTTTGGTTTTGGGGAGACATTTTTAGATGATTAAAGAAGCCCCCCTTGACTGAGTTTATAGAAACGTAAGTTTCGAAAGCGATAGTCAAAGTAGTCGATTGGGACGGAGAATGATTTAAGACATTCACTTTGTATACGCCAATACCTGCAGAAAAGCGTTAGTTCCATAGAGAAAAGAGTAAAGGGATAGAATGCGTATTTTACACCATTGCGTTAGCAACTAATATATTTGGTAGTTTTCTGCGCCTCGAGAAATCCACCGAATGATAGTTTCTCGCGCTTCGGGACTCATATCGTGATGGCACGCCTCGGGAAACAAGTTGTAGAATCCTACTCCTCGAGCAATCTACTGAATGATGATATTCCGCGCCTCAGGAAGATTTATGTGTGATAGTTTCTGTGCCTTGGGAACCCTATCATGAGCTCCTGCGCCTCGAGCAACTCACAAGTGAAATTCTATACACTACAACGAATTGACTCTTATGCCACGAATTATACCACGGGAATACAAAATTCGTGGCATAATTTGAAGCTTGCACTAGGCGAAAAACCCCAATCCCCACCGGTTCAAACCACACATTCCCCACCGGTTTTGAACCGTTCTTGATTTGGGGGGTGCTAAATCCTCAAAGATTTCTCACCGGTTCAAAACCGGTGGCAAAAACCACTTTTCCCACCGGTTTTGGAGTGAACCGGCGGCAAAAACATGTGATTTATGTTATAGATGGAAGACTTTTCCCACCGGTTTTGGGGTGAACCGGTGGCAAAACCATGACATTTCCCACCGGTTTACACATTGAACCGGTGCCAAAAGTCTCCAAAAAAAAATTTAAAAAAACTTTTAGCACCGGTTCTTTCCAAAATCGGTGCCAAAAGTGCCCCAAAAAATTAAAATTTTTTTCTTTTTTTTTTTGCATTTTTTTCACTTAAATTGTACCAAATACTTATATATAATCATAATATACATAAAACACATATATTTGCCTCAATAATTTGTAATATTACACTTTAAAAAACTAAAAAAAAATGGACATATAAACACTAACATATATATTTTCTTCAAAAATAGCCAACCATGATGCACTGCAATAGAAGACAGCAGCCCACCCTAACAGAAACAAAAAACAGAAATAGCCCAAACAGACACAGCCAGCAGGCTTCCAGCAGTAGGTTTCCAAACAGATGAGCATACCAAGCATAGCCAGCCACCCAACACCTGCAGCAACCAAATCCAGCACATGAACTGCACCAGAGCCTGCAACCAGATCCCAGTAGCCAGGAACAGCACAGCAACCAGAAACCAGAAACCCGAGCGTCTGTAAACCAGACCCTAGCAGACCTGAACTTAACAAAGCCAGAACCCAGCAAACCAAATCCAGCACCAGAACAGAGACTGCAGCAGAATCTGTACCAGAGTAAGACCTGCTACAGGACCTGCACGAGACAAACTACAGAACAGAGATTATTTCAATTCCAGCGTTTCAAAATAATTTTAATTGAAAGCAATCATAATAAAATTTCCAACTTCACTACAAATGTTAATTTACATCCCACTAAAAACTACTACCTTCACTATATGTACATAAAACATTTGGTAGTAACTATGAAGAGGGATAGAAAATATTTGAACTTTTTAAGGAGCAGACTGATTTAGGCCTCCTTATGTTACAATCAGTATATATCCCAGGAATGAGGTAATTTATACATAGAATCCACTTCTCAAATTAAAACCATGAATAACTTTGTATATTCTGTACTATAGTGTAATAATTACCTGCTGGCTGAGAGTGTGAGGAACTCTAACTCTCTTGGATCCATCAGCCATTCGTTTGCTAGTAAATGGCTTTCTGATGGAGCATTTTCAATCTGCAAGAATTTCAGCATGGAAACAGAAAATGTCAGGGTAGCATAATCAAATCCAAACAAGGAATAGAAATTTACTTGAAGTAATATCAAGGTAGCATAATCAAATCAAATCCATAATTTGTCATAGTCCAATAACCCACTGGCAAATGAACTGTCAATTCTAAATGAGTGAAAAAATGAAAAACCGAGCATAAATTCTTTGCATCAAACAGATGGTTCAGAACTTTCAGCTCTCCACATTCAGCCAATTACAGATAAAATTCCACTTTACCAATATCATTATCAGTTATCAATTATAAAAATAATGCCAAACCATATGTGATTCCATTTATCATGTAGTTGTCACGTTACTGGTTTAAATCACACTATCAACGCGACTACTAATTAAAGACAGATGTAATAAGTAGAAAAACACAAGGAGTGAGGAATCATATACCTTCTGTGAAGAAAGTGAGGGTTTAGCTATATTTGGAGGTGCATTTTCAAGCACAAGCTCTTGCTCAGCCTTTAATTTCGGAAAATTAGTTTCATGTGGCTGCAAATACGAAAACTACAACCAATTAGTTAATGGAAAAACAACACATACACTCCACACCTTCTAAAGTGGAAATTTTAAGCTTAATTCAAACACTAATTACACGATTCGACCCCTGATTTTATCATTCATTATATACCATAATCACTAATAACACTAATAAAAACTACTTATAAGATTGTTATAACAAAATTACCAAACAAACAGAGTGGATGAGCTTCATATAAACCAGAGATAGTTTGAAGACTATGATAGTTGTTAAACACGCTCTCGAGACTAGAATACTGAGCTGGCTAGAGCTCCTGTGAGAAGGCACCTGTGCCTAGCTGTGTCAACCAAGGAGCATGAGTAAGCAACCTCAGTAGCTGCTCCAGGTTCACATATCGGTTCACCTTTAAGACCCTTAAAGATTTACACCTAGCTACTAGTCTCTCAAGGGACGGAAAGCAGATTTCTGAATGAAGATTAGAGAAATTTAGAATTTCCAATGAAGTAAAGTTTTCAGGAAAGCAACTCAACCAACAGCCACTGCGGTCATCAATTCCATTTTCCTGAACGTCGAGCTCAACTAAGTTCCTGGAAAAATAAAAACGTTACAATTTGATTAAAATGAAGTTATCTCCACTATGCCATGCTAGCAGACAAGGTGAAGATTTATAATACAAATCAAAACTGAGGGAAAAATATATACATTAAAAAAAAAAAAAAAAAAAAAAAGGAAAAAAAAGCATGAAACTCTAAAAGCCAAACACCCTAGGCAACTAATATTTGCAACAATTCATCCACAAGAGTATAGGACTATGGAGTAGTCTTGTGGCCCTAGTCGATGCCGTAAACACAATAAAAGATGGAAAATATAGAGCACAAAGGCACTCAAATAAGGGACAACATGCCACATATTTGGTAATGTTATCAGGATTCAGGACTATTACTACAAAGTCCTCTAATGAGAAGCTGAAATAGCAAGATGTAAGACATTTTTCAATCAAGAATCAACAATCAAATGCTAACAAGAATAAATAGGAACATTAGGTTTTCACATGTCAGGAATTTTTCATTTGTGCTTTCTTGTAGAGTTTATACATAAACTAGGTGAAGTGCCAAAAGAGCACATAATGGAATTAGAGCTTCAAAAGAAATAAAAACCATAAAGTTGCCAGAGTTATGGTCCAAAGGAGAAGACATCAATCACATCATAATCATCAATGTATACTCAACTAATAACACACAAGCTTGAGTACCACAATGTTTGTTAACAGACTAAGATGGAAATTGTTCCTACTTTAATTGTAAATTTTCTTGTCATTTACACAAACCATTAGGCCTTGATTTGCGCTTCCATTTTCAGAAGCATGTGAAGACCAACCATTGCACTACAACGTAAATAAGTTATACATTATTACTTAATTAATTGGTTGCCATCAACTCGTTTTAAACGTGTATTGAGATATAGCCCCAAATACAAGCTTTAAAAGGCAACTATATAAAAGGCAAAATTATGAGCTACCGACAATACAATGAAAGATTATTAGGGAAATCCCGACGTATGTCCAAATTATATAGGGTGTATTAATTAACCACACAACATACTTTTAAGTTTTAACCCTAATTTGATATTTACTATGTAAGGTATGCTGAATTCTTGCTATTGGAGCAATATCAAAGATAAGATTAGCCCACAGAAAGGGCACTCAAATCCCAATTCTAAACAGTGTATACGTTGTCGAGAAATTGATCTTAATTTCATTCAATACTCATTACGTAAAGTTCACAAGCTATAGTTGATCATTAGAGGCATGAAACAAGCAAACATAAGCCACAAACAGTCACTAAGCTACAGAAGAAAGGGGGGGAATTTTTTCTGAAAATTGTATGGGGGTGGAGGAGAATGAGTAAGGAAGAAAGCTAAGCCCTTAATTTGATGGCCTGATAACATGTGGTTTTAATGGCTCTTGCTAACGATATTAATGAGGACAATGACATTAAAAGCGACAACTGATTATCACTAATTAAGGCAAATATCATATCAACCAATGTAGGGAAAAGAATTGAAAAGGATCCAAAACATCTTTAGCTCACCAATAATGTGCAATATCACCACTTACATCCTTAGTGCGCAATTCAATTGACTACGAGTGCTTCAAAGCTCATCTAACCCTCCCCTTCAACTCAGCTCTTCGCTGAAAACCATGAAGAACAAATACGATTCAGATACCAAACACAACACTTGATTCATCATATAAATTCAATCAATGTTGAGAAAAGAGACATACCATCAAGCTTGAACAACATAATTTCAATCAATTATGTTTCATCACACACTAACAGTTGTACCAGTACATCTCAAAGAAACAAAAACAAACAGCAATCACACACTAACACACATAGTACACAAGAAATCTTCAATAATAAAAAAATATCAAACAAAAAAGATCGAAGAAAAAGGGGGGAATTGACGATAAACCCTAGAAAAAGAAGGCCTTGCCGCCGTGATAAGGAGGCCGTTGTGGTGGAGGTAGAGCCGTGCGCGCTTCAATGACAAACCCTAGCTAACAAGTTGAGGAAGTCAATGTTTGTAATTTATGAGCTTCTTTGCATAATCCACCCAAAATCTCAAAGCAAACCACAAAGAACAGAAAATCCTAAATCAACGACTAACCCTAGATTGCGAAGCTATTCAATAGACTAGGAAGACCAAGAAATATTTCTTACCTCGAAGCTGCTACAATGGAGTTGGAAAGCTCGAAATGCGCTTCAATGGAGGTCAGAAAGCTCGACAGTATGTGCTTCAATGGAGGAGATAGCTATATATGGAGAGAAAGAGAGGAGTTGCGCGGCAATGGAGGTGAGAAAGCCCAGAATGCGCTTCAATGGAGGACAACCTATGCGTGAAGGAGAGCCATGGTGAGGGCAGGCGAGAACGAGAGAAGGAAGATTAATTGAAGGGGAAGCAGGGAATGAAATAAACGTACTGAAGGAAGAAGAAGAGTATTTCACGATTATAATTAAGGTGGTTTTTTTTTTTTTTTTTTTTTATTTGCGTACCGGTTCGAACCGTTTGTGAAAATACTTTTCCCACTGGTTTGGGTTGAACCGGTGGCATATCCCTTTACCTTTTTTTTTTTTTTTATTTTTTAACTTTGCCCGGTTTTTAAAAACCGGTGGGAAAAGGAGGGTGCCTTTTCAATTTTTCTACTAGTGTTGCCACGGGAAAAATAAGTTCAATACTAATCTTGATATGACAACAAATATTATGCCATTGGAAAAATGAAGCTCGTGGCTAATTGAAACTAGTGCCACGGTTAAATTTTTTTCCTGTAGCAAATAAACACTTTTGCACACGTAATTATGTTCCCGTGGCAAATGGACATTGTTGCCACAACAAATATTTTTCTCGTGGCAAACAAACACTTGTGTCATGGGTATTTTTTTATTTTTAACTGTGACAGTCATTCTAACACTTTGCCACATTAAAATTTATTTCCGTGGCAATATGTTAAAACAAACGAATCGTATTTCTTGTAAGGAAAATAAACTTAGACTAATGTTATCAATCTTTTAGTTTTAACCATGAGATACAAACTATGTAAAAAAAATTTATTTATAAATTCTTACAAGTAAAATTGGTGGGAATTTGATTATGCACCATTATAAGTTTATAATCGTATGACATTTACCCAAATAAAATTCAAATTAATTCATTTTAAAAATAACGTATCTTATAATTATTAATATTAAAAAAAGACCTTAGCGTAAAATAGCCTGCAAAAGCAAGGTTTTTTTGGTAATTTATAATTATTAATTTTGGATTTTTTTTATTTTTTTTGGCATTTTTCTAGTTTAGTTTATAATACATATAGATAAAAGAAACTATTCTCAAATGAACTTCTATAAATTGCGCTAAGCCGGTAATCAATAATTATTTAGGGGCGCAACATGTTTTCCTAAAAGATTGTACATGAGCCAAATGGCTAATAACAGTTCCTATTATAAAATTTTACTGCAGTACTTCGTATATATTTCTTAAAATAGCAAATAAAAAGGATTTTAAAATCAAAAAGGTTTTGAGCACCACCAGCTTTCTCCGGAGAATAATTGCTCCAAGAAAGCCGGATAAAAGGTCCATGTTTTATTTCTTACATGACATACTTGCATTTCTCTCTGAGAAAATATCTCTCTCTTTTTTTTTTTTTTGGCAAACGAGGTACAGGTACCAAAAACAAGAAAGCAACAAACCAACTAAAAAAATTTAGAAAGCTACGACACCAGCAGGACACTAAGTGGGAACCAATCGTGGAATAGCCATCCTTGGATATCCTCCTTTAGGATCCTAGCTAGTTCTAAAGGAACATCTAACAATGAACTAAAATTATTTGATTGAGCTACACCAATGTTAGCAGGCTAGTCCGCTGCACGATTGCCTTCACGATAGACATGGAGTATCTGGACTTCCCATTCTTCCTTTTGTATCAAATCTTTACAGAAATTGATTAAGTGGGCACATTCACCCGCATCATCTTGCTCGTTTAATTTGATAGAACTTCTTAAGCGCAAGAATTTCAACTCATTCATCCGCATCATTCACCTGGCTAAGATCAGACCCTTCTTAAGCGCCAGAATTTCAGCTCGAAAGGCTGAGCAACACCCAAAGTTGGCAGAACACCCAAAATTAACTTGTCTCATCTATGATAATATCCCCTCACCCAGCTAGCCCAAGAGGGCCCTTTGCTGCTCCATCTGTGTTAAGCATGCACCACCAGCCTACTGGCTCAAGGGAATGGGATTGGCTCTGACTGCAATGCCTTCTGCCGAAGCTTGATCTGTCCTTTGCTATGAACTGAAATAAAACCAGTAGCAATTGCAGCAGATGGAAGGCGCCCAACATACTCAATGTCGTCAGCACTTCCTCTGTCGAAAGATTTCATTGTTGGACATAGACTGTGCAATATAGCTGTAAGCGCCCATGTTCATTGGCTCTTCCTGACACCAGACTACCTCAGCATCTGCAGCAAATATTCCCAGTCAAAATTCCATTTTTTTTAATATATAAAATTCCAAGTCAAAATTCTGATGCAACCAAAATTCTTGTTACATGATACTAGCAATCCGTTTATTAAGGAAAGTCTTGGTGTGTTCAGGAAACAAACAATTCTGTATGTATCTTGTTTCCTAGTCTTGTATTATTAGGATTCTAGTGCTTTACTTACTCCCCAAGGCTTTGCGCTTACATATAATGTAACACATTTGCACAAGTTAAACTAAATTGATTATATGCAGCATGAAGTAGAATGTGGAATGCTTAAATGCCTGAAACTACACATCTCCAATGCCATCCTTCACCAGAAAACCCCTCATTTTGAGTAAACTTACTATAACAAATGTAACCAGACCAATTTAATAACTTACTTGGATATCGATTCAACTCTCAATGGACAAGGTCATATGGGAAAGGGCAAAGCTGCTCCACTCCATAGATGGCAATATCGCTGCTATTTTGTTTCTTCCTGTGTTGATCAAGTTCATAATAAACCCACATGATTTCAGAGCGGGGAACAATGACTTCACCAGAACATCAACATAATTGATAAACTTCAGAACACATGCTAGTGTTGCATAAATTAACACAGCATTTTTAGGTCAAACACTGGCCCATGACAAAAAACAAATAAAGCAAACATAGCTACAACTTTCTTTTATTGTCAGCTAATTTTGTTGTCTACTTATCTGGAAAAGACTGCACTAACAAAGTTCCTAAATCCTCATTGATAAAGCAAAACCAAAAAGATATGATGCTATAATGTTGACCACATGGAAAAAATACTTACTTTCCCAGAGCATAAAATCAAACGCATAATGCTCTCCTAACAATCTGAGTGCATTTTCTGATCCTTAGCGAGCCGCTTGAATCAGGTACCTTGTTTATCAAAACCATGATGACCCTGAATATCATTAAATTCGGAAAAGATATGAGCAAATAGAGCTATGAAGATCTTTTAAAACGTTTCAAATTGCAAGAGCCGATAAATGCACTCACTTGACGATGCAAAACATGAATGTAGTTAGCAGGGGTGGTTAATTACATTGACAACCTGCCAATTGCATTCCTGGATCTGCTTCTGTTGTGTGGGTTCCGTCTCGGGTATGACATAGGGGTTGTCATCACTGATCTGAAAGGAGAACCCTATGTCAGGTTCATCTGGCTCACCAGAAATTCAAATCACAAAGCTAAAATCTTCCTAAGCCATATTCAATTTACTTAGCTTCGCCTCTCATTAGAATCATGCAACTTTTGGAACTTGAGTTGCACCTCCAATTATAATCAAAACTGAAAAATTAAAATGAACTAAGGAAAGGCACATGGGGCAGCAACAACAGCATCATCTAGACATCAAGAATGGTAGAATAAAATGTAACACTAGCCAGATACATTTAACACACATTACAAGCCGTACGGTTGTCACCGTTACTGAAAGTATCTATTCTGTTAGATACACACCTATACCCAAAGACATAAAATAGAAAAGATTCATAGATAACAATAATTGAATGCCTTTGATAAAAAAAATAAAAATAAAAAAAAAAAAATAATAAAATAACAAAAAAAAAATTAACAAAAAAAAATAATAAAAAAAACAAAATCAATGCAACACGTGTGCTATAATGATGTTCCCTGTAACGACGAGCATGAGATGTAAGAACTTGAGAAAGAACTTGAAAATTTACCTGAAATTAGAGTTACAAAAAAAAGGTATGTTTTGAACTAAGGATGATTTAAGTAGTCTTTCCATTTATGTCAATAGTTCTTGTCATTGATTTGTTATTTTGTATCAGGAAAACATAAGAAATCTGAGAGCAGGGAACAAAAAAAGCAACTTCATTCCACCAATGTCAGTGGCGAGTTTCTAAAGACGAACAAGAAAACACAAGAAGTTATGGCCATGTACTTTTCTCCTTTAAATTTTTTATTTGTGTAGCTTTGGTTAGGGAGGGCAGTGTGCAGTCAATATATAGGGTGATGTTTTTTAGCATGCTAGGAGGATGTAGTACAGGGAGGGGGCATGCATAGAGGGGTACATGTGTAGGGAGGGGGTGCAAGGGATGAGTGCAGTAGGTGCAGGCAGGGGGTGTAGGGAAGTGGGGGAAAGTGCAGGCAGGGATGTAGGGGATGGGTAGGGGCAGAGAGGTAGGGGTAGGTTTAGGGGCTGGGAAACGGGCTGTAAAAGAGGGATGCAGTGCAGGGAGGGGGTATAAGAGATGGGAGAAGGATTGTACAGGGTGGGGCTAGGGAGGTAGGGGGCAGGATGGGGGTGCAGGCCTGCAGGGGTCGTACGCATTTAGACAAATATAGCCATAAATAGATGTATGTGTACGGAAACTAAATCAACACCTTAAAATTGGCATGTAAGATATTTTTCTCTTCCTCTATGGCATTAATTTTCACATCAACTGTCATTTGAACAAATGGAGTTAATGTTATGCCCAAATTTTCATCTCGGGTTCACTTGTTCGCAGGTTGCCAGGTTGCTAAGTTGCTAGGTTTTAGGTTCCAGGTTGTTATGAAATCAGTTACTCGGTTCCAGATATTAAACGAAGTCAAGCAGAGGTCTTTCTAAGGAATATTCCAAAGGTATCTTTGTTTGAACAAGTCAAGAGAGCTGCCAAGAATATCGGACCCACAAAGCACCAGTATGCCGTTAGAGAAGACCAATTCAAACTACAATAGATAAGTCTTCAAGGGTAAAGGTGAGGAAGTAGGAACTACCTCAACCCACTAGCCTAGGATTCCAAGGAATCCAGAATGAAGCCGTTGAAGTCTTTGAAGTTGTTTCTTATGCTATAAATAGGAAAAAAATCATGGTATCAAGCATCACAAAATATCCAGCCTTATTATTGATAGCAATTAAGTATTAGCAATCCTAAACATCGTTACTATCATATTGTAAACATAAATTGTATCCGTTTCAACCTGTCAACCTAATGGATTGGTGGACTCATTGCCACCCGCAGTTTTTACCCTTGTTCCTTGGGTTTTCTACGTCATCATCTCGTGTCTCTTCTCCCCTTTCCCTTTGCTCATTTATTACATTCCCCTTTATCTTATTTCCTTGAACCAACATAGTCATTCTCATTCAAATTAATCTAGCTGTTATTATTTTGAACCTAGATTTTAACCTAAACAGTTTGGCGCCGTTTGTGGGGACCAGTTAGATCTTCCTAATCATTTCATCCGACTTGTCACCCATCATGGTTGACACTCCCATTCAAGATCCTAACATGGCCGAAATCGTTGAGCAATTACGGGAAACTCGAGAAGAATTAAAAGCTATCCGGGAACGAAACCTGGGGCTCTAGACAGAATCTCAATCTCATTAGGCATCCTTGGAGAAGCCGAACAAGGAGCTTGAATCTGTTAAGAGCAACAAGAAAAGAAGATTCAAAACCAACGACATTCTCCAGCTCTCCTTGATCTCATCCGATGAATTTAAAGGGGAAACAAACGATCCTCATAAGAAGAATAGGGAGTCTGGCGAAGACCCCGATCCTATGGCCAAAAAGGTGGCTATTATTGAAGCTCAAAATCGAAAAATGATGAAGCTCTTGACCCGGCTACCAGGTGGGCCAAAACCTGTGGCCTATGAATCTCGTGATGGGTTTGCTGAATCTCCCATTGTGGATGAATTGCTAAAGTCAGAATTCCCACAAAGCTGAATATCCCATCCTTCCCTAAGCTGTACGATGGAACCACTGACCCCCAAGATCATGTGGCCCATTACAAGCAAAAGATGTGGAAGCTATCCATTCCATGCGAGCTTATTGAACCCTCCATGTACAAGTCCTTCGGCGCTACTTTATCAAGCCTAAACTCCAATGGCTGATCAACTTGAAGTTTGGATCTATCAGTAGCTTCTCTAGTTTGGTGAACAAGTTCTATCAGCCATTCGCTACCAGCAGAGAGTTTGAGAAGCAGAGCAGTGTCCTGTACCGAGTCGTCCAGAAGCAGAATTAAACGACCAGGCAATATTGGGACAGGTTCAATAGAGAGATGGTCAACATCAAGAATTGCGATCATTCAACTGCCACAGAAGCCTTCCGTAAGGGACTCATTACCGTTCCAGGTTGTATTATGAGTTGACCAGATATCCCTGTGCCTCTTTTGAAGAAGTTAGAACCAGGGCAATGGCCGAAGTTCGTGTAGAAGAGGACGAGCAATCAAGAAAGCTGATCGAGAAAAGGCCAGTTAGGTATTTTGGAAATCAGTATTCTAGACCTAGGCAGAATAACTGGCATAATAATCCGAGGCGTAGCAATGTGAGCAGCGTGTCAGATTCAAGAATAGGTGAAGCTTCCAGCAAGCAGGACCGAGAAGATCATCATGCCATCGATTCATATGGTTTCGATACCGATATAGCAGGGGTCGTCAATGCTCTAAAGGAAATCGGGCAACCTGTGAGGTGGCCTAGAAAGAGCGATAAGCCGGACCACCAAAAAGATAAATCTAGGTGGTGTGAATACCATGGAGATCATGGGAATAGGACCGATGAGTGCAACGTTCTGAAAAAGAGGTAACCTGGCTGCTTAAAAAGGGTTACTTGAAAGATCTCCTAGGCAAGAAAGGAAAGGGACCTGAAGTAAAGAGAGAAGTCCTGCCAGTTTCACTAGCTTTGCCTCCGCCTAGCGTGGTGATCAGCGTTATATCAGGAGGATCTAGCATAAGTGGAATGCCTTATTCCAGCGCGAAGAATATAGCAAGGGTTGGTACATCAACTTCCAGCATTCCCCAAACCTATCCCAGCAGAGAAGAGAAAGCTTTAGATGAAATGAAGATAGTGTTTGATGAAAGCAGATTCAATGAGCCAAAGCATCATGATTGTCAGGTTATTTCCCTCTATGTTGGTCATTGCAAGATGAAAAGGGTGCTGGTAGACAATGGAAGCTCGACAAACATAATATTTAGAGGCGCCTTTAATCAACCCGAATTCAGGGAGTCAGATATCACTAAAAAGTCTACAGTCCTCGTCGGGTTCAATGGAGAACGCATGAATACCTTGGGGGAAATCCAGTTGCCCACCTTGTTAAAAGGCGTCAATATGATGCATAGATTCGATGTGGTAGATTGCCAGACCGCCTATAATGTGATAGTGGGAACTCTGTGGATCCATAAAATGAAGGCTATCTCGTCAACCTACCATCAGCTGCTGAAATTTCCAAGTCCAAGGGGAGTAGCTGTAGGGTTTCGTAGTGACCCACACTACGCGGAAAGAAACCCGCCAAGATCCGCCCCCATAATAAATGCAATTAACAAGCAAAACATAATTAAACGCAACAAAGGATAAAAGATTATACCTTTGACGCGTGCTTCGCTCAACAATGAGCTCTTACTTGAACCCCGAAAATACGAGGTCTCCAACGGGATCGTACCCTCGAACCCGACCCGAGCGTCCTAAGTCTCGAAGGTTAGTCGAGACCCGGACAAAAAAAACTATGAGTTTTACGAATCAAGGTTTACTCAAATCAATAGTTGCCTTTTAATTCCACTCAAGACTGTTCTTTCTCAAATACCCAAACTTTGGTATTTATAGGGAAATGAACCCTTGATCTTCATTTCCCAACCAATGTGGGAGAATGAATAATTTTGATAATTAATTTAATTCCAAAATAAATTAATAATCAAATCAATCACAATGCAACAAGTGTCAAGGGGAGAAAGAGGGTTAAGTGAGGACCAAGAGAGGTGGGTGGGGACCATTGCGTTGCTCCCCAAGGCTTTGCCCAAGCCTTGGTCCCCACCCTCACAAAACCGGCATAGGGGCTGCTGGGCTGGCATCCAGCTAGCACTGCTAGCTAGCCCAGCCAGCCAGCACAAGGCAGTAAGCATCTGCCCAGCCAGCTCCACGCACGCTGCGTGCTGCTGCTTGCTAGGCGCTGGGCGCTGCTAACAAGCGTTGTTGGCTGCCTGGCTCTTGCACGCACACGCACACCCAGGCCCTCGCACTCCCAGCATGCATGCTGCTAGCGAGCCACGCATGCTGGGCATCGCCTTGCCAGCCACACGAACAAGCATGCGAAGCTTGGTGCTGTGATGCTGCGATGGCTTGTATACACACGCACTGAGCGAGGCTCGTGCTGCTGCAGCGATGCCCTCCACGCACACGCACACACGCACTGGCCTAGCCATGCGATAGTGTTATGCTTGTGCGAGGGGCCTGCGATGGTTCCTAGCACCCAGGCACGCATGCTGCGGTGCAGTGCCATGCGAAGGCACGCATATGCGTAGCCATGCTGCTGCGATGGTGCGATAGGCTAAGGCACAAGCGCACGCACAAGCCTAGCCATGCGATGGTGCTATGCTTGTGCTGCGATGGGTTGCGATAGTGCCTAGGCTTGCGTCTAGCCATGCTAGTTGCATGTTAGCTCGAGTTAGCCTAGCGTTCACATGGCTAGGCCACTGTGATACTACGGCTACGCTCGAACTTGTTGCTTGTGATTTTGCGATGCTCGGTTTCGACGCCCTAGGCTCGATATCCGACGTCTGTATTCGTAAAACTCCGTCGACTCATTAAATCCTTCGGATTAATTCGTCGTCTCGAATCGGTTGTTCGATTGGGTTCGACCCGAAGGGTTCAGTTAAGATTAAGCTGTAATATTAATTATACCTTAATATTACTGATCGGAAGCGGCCTCCACCTAGGCATTCCGATCACTTGACCTTACTGAAGAATTAGCTCTGTAATAATTCTTAACCCTCTATCGGAATAATACACTTGTTGGAAGGACACCATTCCTTTCAGTAGCAATAGTCGAAGGAGATAGAAATCAAGTCAGAGAATGTTACCAGATCGCTATGAACCCCAATGGGCCCTGAATCTAGCAATTACAGCAAAATCCAGCGCCAGGACGCCCAGATGAGCTTCAATTAGATGAAGTGGTGCTGGGTGAATCCAAGCCAAATCAAATAGCCAAGATTGGAGCAGCATTACTTGCAGGCCAAAAAGAAGCCATCGTAAAGTGCTTGAGGGAGAATTCATATTGTTTTGCTTGGTCTCATCAAGACATGAAAGGAATCAGCCCGAAAGTTATAACTTACAAGCTCAATGTAGATCCCAGCATGAAGCTGGTGAAGCGGAAGAGAAGAAAATTTGCACCTGAGCGTAACCAGATTATAAACGAAGAAGTTTAGAAGCTGCTAGATACCGGGAAGATAAGGGAAGTCAAGTCTGTAGATTGGCTAGCTAATGTGGTCATCGTCAGCAAAAAGAACGGAACCTAGAGAGTCTGCATCAACTTCACGATCTGAATAAAGCTTTCCCCAAGGACCCATTCCCCTTGCATCATATAGATTCAATGGTAGATGCTACATCCGGGCACGAGTTGCTCACATTCATGGATGCGTATTCAGGTT